GGACTGGGGGCGGCAGGTGTTGGGTTGTTAGCTACCATCGTGGCTACCCCCGTAGTGCTAGGCATTGAAATAACAGCTGGGGTGGCAGGGGTGTTAGGGTTGGCGCTTAAGTTTGCATCACGCAGACTGCATCGTAAGGCATTGAAACACGACGAGATCAGGGTTCTGGCTGCAGCAAAGCTGAACACAGTAAGTGAGCGTATTTCCACGGCACTTACTGACAGTAAGATCTCAGAGGAGGAGTTTAGTTCAATCCTCTCTGAACTCACAAAAAATAATAGAATGAAACAAGAGATTCGATCCAAGTCTCGTAAGTCTGCTATCAGCGAGGATGAGAAAAAAAAGTACATAGAACAGGGAGTACAAAAAGCCCGGCAAGCCTAATTATGAACACGAAAGAGATCATAGGCGATTCATGTTAAACTGTTTCATTGAGGTCAACATGGCATAGCGGCACGTTAGACACAGCCCAGCATTGGATGATGCAATACCCGTTACTTCCCCCATGTCCCCGGTGGCGCGTTCGTATCCGGCTAGCGCCCCAAACTTTTTCATAGTAGGGGTAATGGTAGCAAGAGCTAAGGGCCCGACCAAAGCCTTATTTCACAAATAAGGCTTTGCAGAGGCTTTTGTTGAAAGTGATCCAGAACCCCCATTGTATATACTACTCTTTGTCTTTCAACTATGCTGAAGTGAATTTCACAGCATTGTTTTTGTCAGTTTGAATACCAAACCTGTCATCATTGATTATTTAAACGTATTGTGTTTACTTTATTAACATCCTCTTTCCATATACAGCTCTCTCTATTATTCATCTTTTCAACCAATAATTGCTAAACATCATCATACCAGATATATGTGTCATTGTTTTAGTAGTTAAACGTCATATCCCAATAAAACATGGTTTGATCGGCATTCTAGAAGATGGTGAGTCAAAAATGAAACACACAACTTTATGGATGACAAAGTTTTGTGGCTGCCGATTTCAATGCCTTCAAACAGTTTTCTTTTTGTGAGGTCCTGATTCTAGGTGAATAAGATTTCATATTTGTCATACTGGATTAGATGGCTGGGGAGTATTTGTTGGTGATCTGAGAGGGCTTAATTGCTGTCTGCCTTGGCTGTTGAGGTTTTAATTCTTTTATGCTTGTATTAACGGGACGGGATGTTTCACCTATATAAGAGTCACACATCCACAATAAATCTTGTCAATCACTCCTTCGGGGATTGCTTTTTGGAGAGTGGGTTATGGTCATTGGCTTGGAAGATAGTTCTGAGGGTTGGATAGCCAGTGTAAATGGCCTTTGATCGACAAAAACCAAGGATAGTACAGTAGTTGGCCATAAGTGAGTCATCGTTAGTGAAACTTCCATAGACTTACATGTTAAATAACTGCTGCAAGAATAATTTTCATTAATTGAGTAGAAGTAATTCTATGTTGATATTTTGCAAACATCTTGGAAGTCATCTTCAGCTACGTGTACATAATTTTCTTTCATCTTTCCGTTGATTAGTTATCGAATGACACCTGATTAAGCACCATATAAAAGTACAGCTTTTAATCTATCCCATAGACAGCCATGTTAAACATGATCGGTATGTATAATATATGTTGTTTAAATAGTTGCAGTTTTCTTAATAATCATCGGAAAATTTAATGGAAAGTACGTGTATGTAGCTTGGATGATTTCCCAGCTGGTAGATAAGTATTGAAAGCAATTTGATCGACACTTAATTCATGAAAATTTTTCTTGCAAGTGTTAATTAACATGCAAGTCTATGGGAATTTCACTTATGGCCAACTACTGTACATACCATTGGCCTATGAAGAACTAATCGGCTATAGAACTATACTCTATCAAAGCACCCTATCAGCTTGTTCTTACAATCTAATCCCCCCTTGTTTATTGGCTCCAGATCACCAGATCCATTTGTTGTTCTTAGACCCAACTGGCCTCTCCCAATTATGTACCAGTTGTTATTCAATTATATGTTGGTGTTAATGTCAATCTGCTGGTTATCAAAATATACTACGCATATATACTTCCCATCATTTGGTTGTAGTCACTTTTAGCTTGATAACTGTGTAAGAAGCTACATCGAAACGTCGCTCAATGCTATAAACAAGAAGTTATCATCTATAAAGTTGTATGTTTCATTTTCAAATAAAACATAACGTCAAATACTTTGTCCTTTTATGATAGATCTCATGTCTAAAATCATCATATCTGACAGTTTGATGACAGAGGTGAGGTGGGGGTGAAATTAGGTTTAACGTCGTGCTTGAGAATATTTCGCTGATACGACGACGTGCATGCATGTGTATGTGTATGTGCGGCTGCTTGTATTAGCCCAGACTTAAGCTGGTTTTATAGTGCTAGCCCACTGAGATACCATGCCGCATTGAAGCATGAATACCCCACTCAGACACATTATACTGACTCCGAGCCGACCACTCCTTGTTGTACCCTTTAATACCGAGTGCCAGGCAGTAACCAACAAGTACCATGTTTTAACGTCTTTTGGTATGACGCGGTCGGGGATCGTTGATGACGGAAGTTAATTGTTCATGAAATCTGTTAAGGGTAAAGCATGAATGTTGTTATGAGATTTGGGAGAGGAGGGCGGGGAATTTAAGGAGAAGTGCGCAAAACACCAGCGACCACAGCTGAAATACCTAAGACAAGCATATTTTCTGGAAATACAATATTGTTCAATAACAATGAAAATAAAAGAATTGATTAACTTATGTTGTTTATATATGTTTCTGCTTGCAGACGTCAGGAAAGAGCTAAATGTTGAAATATGGTTGTGCCAACATAAGGCCAACTAAATCACTACGGTGGGCCAAGTATGGGCCATGGTTTAGTACAAGGTCAATAAAGAACTAAATGCTGGAACACAGGTGTGCCAACATAAGGCAACACAATCATTGCGTTGGGCCAGGTATGGGCCATGGTTTCTGTTCGTTAGCCCAGCTATGAGCCAACATGATGGGCCACTGTGAAGCCGATGAGCATATCCAAGGGGGCCCATCGTCAGTTTAACAGCCATGGACCAATCAAAACAGTGATTATGTGCCAACTAGGGCCAATATATCAAGGTTTAGTCTCTATTCGCCCACATCTGAATTCGCCTACATCCCATTTCGCATTTTAAAATAATGTTTGCAAACTGGGATTAGAAATTGTACCCTACTCTTATAATGAACCTGACTCACTGGTTAGTGCCAAACTACGTCTTGATCCACTGTTGTTATAAGGATATGTGGTCGATTCCAACGAAAAGTGTACACACCTGGGTACAAGGGGTCCACAATAGAATTGCTTGCACTTTGTAATTCTTTTTACAAATGTAAAGTCAACATATTTGCGTCTTATGAAAATCAGTTGCCATCACTAATCTCTAAAAGTGGCAAGTTGGTGGATCAGATCTGAATTGCCTACAAATACCAACATCATACCTTGTATATCCAGTGATTAGATGGATTGTATGTTGCCTGACATCCCAATTCACTATTGTTCTGCATGCACAATATGTTAATGAAAATAGAGAGTCTGAAGCCATATCATGGTTTCTTTCATGTTTTATAACCTCAAGCTTTATAAAAATAGAACAATTTTGGTACTTTTGTTTGGTGTAAGTGAGATAGTACCACTTAGTGTTCTTTTCACAAACAAATCGTTGTTAGATATCTATTTTATACATCTGGGAGACGAGTGGAATTTTCGGTAAGCACAAATAATTTGAAAATGCATCAAAACCTAAATTTTGGTTGGAAGGCAAAACGTGTACTTGAAGGTAACAGCAAATATTGTATAATTCCTTTCATTTCATAAACGTTAATACATGTTAAACTAAATCATAACTGGTTTATTAAAACATCGAACAATTTGGAAATTGTTTAGGACAAGTGAATAAAGACAGTTTACAACCTGTTGAAGGTTTTCTCTCTAAAATCATTACACCTCAAATTGTATTTACCAAATGTTTCAAGTTATTCAGATGTATATAATCATGTTATATCCCTCTGATTTTCCAATTCAACAGGTATTTTTTAATCTTAATAACACGGCTAAGGTAGAACAGAGACAAAATTATAATAGCTATAAATTTTGTATTTAAAACCTCACACAATGCGTTTGTTTTTAATTCAAATTTAGAACTATTGAAATTTCATTATAAACCTCTAATTTTCTAACACAGTATGTTTATCTCCTAAATGGACATCTGCACAAGTTCACTTACTTAACACTAATGTGATATGATGTGAATATCACTGTGATCGGAAAATGACAAATAACAGAGTAAATACATAACAGACAAATAACAGAAATAAATTCTTTTTGTTCTACAACTACTTCAACTAGAAGAGTCCACGTTTAGATCATAGGGGTGCCACTAGTTAACCATGGCGTAATCAACAGTCAACAGACCATGAAATGTTGTTTTAAGGCTGTAGGCGAATTGGGATGTAGGCGGAATTAGAACACGCCTATATCAATGCTATCTGGGATTATGGCTGTCAATGATACATTCCCCAAATGATTTTACCATGACCGGGCCTTTAAGGTCCAGACAATAGAGAACAAGAAATATAAACAAACCCAGGTTAACATGTATACATAACTATGTGCTTGTTTATATCCATATTTTAAATGCATACTCTAGTCCTCAGTTTTCTTTTTTGTCATCCATGGAAAAGGGTGGGAGAAGTGTTTTTATATCTTTGCCAACTTTGCAGGTTTTCACACTGCCATTTGCTGATGTCAATTCACTGAAAAATGCATGCATAATATAAAATGTCCCAGGGAATCTATTAGCAGCTTTGCGACATGTTGAAAATAAACAATAGTTATCATTGTTTATAATTCTACGAATACTGATTCTATTACACATGTTAAAAATCTGAAGTTTAGTGTTAGTGACACTTGAGTCACAAATACATCATTAGGGCAATGATGTAATACAGGAAGAGGTTGTATAGAAATAATACCCACATTTGACAAGCAACTCCACCGTCTTGGTGACAGGTGCCCCGATGTTGTTGGTGGCAGTACAGGAGTAGTTCCCTCTTTGTCTACAGTCCACTGAATCCAGTCTATATGTTGCTGTCAGAGAGTTGTCTGCCCTTGTCAACTCCTCACTTCCATTCAGTAACCTGATGACTGACCTTGGATTACTGTCAACCTGGCAGCTCAAGGTGGCTTGATCTGATTCATTTACTGACACTGAACGACTGAGCGAGTTGACCGTAAAGATAGTTATGTTGACAGGATCTGAAAATAAAACCAAATTGACTATTAAAATAAAAAAACCCACTAGTTTGAACACATATGCCTGTTAAGAACACATGTGACACTCTTAAAATTGAGGTGGGGAGGTGGGAGGAGTGAAAATATAACTCTGATATACTGGTACATATAGGATTAGATTGCTATATTCATAACTCTCTGAGAACAACTGTCTGAATTGAATTACTGCAAATGTAGACATGGCTTCGCCAGCATTGTTTTCATTTTAACTTAATATCATTTTAACTAAATTCAACCTCCCCACCACAGGGCTCAATCCAAATGAAGTCATACTGTTACACCATACTGTGTAACAGGGACCTTCATCATTCAGTGAGATGTGAGATAAACAGTTTACTATTTTCAACATTCTTTGCTTTCTGAAGAAAAGGTGTTCAAACAAGCCATGGTAGAGTTAATTTCATCAAGCATACGAAGTCAAGCTCCACTGGTCCCATAGTTTCCAATGAGACATAAAACAGGGTGCATGTTGACAATAATTATTCGTAAATACAGGATATTTGCAATCCCAAAACACACTCATGTGATAACGTCTATTTAGCATTGACATATGCGTTGGCAGAAGCATTATGTTTGATTGGAAAAAAAAAATAGAATAGCAAAAAGCTTTGAAACATAAATGAGTATTGTCAAGTTGTGTTTTTTAATCAAGAAGTACACCTTGCTCTGCACACGATGCAACAAGGCTGACATGCACTAATCTTATTTCAGGCACCAATAGGTACCGTGCTTCTAAGGGAATACTTCTACACTCTTAACCCCCCACCCCCAAACAAAAAAGACCACAAAAAACGAGACCCCCCAAAAAACCAAAACAAAACCAAAACAAACGAAACAACAACAATAATAAACAACAAAAATCTAACCAATTATTGATTCGAAATTTGCAATTATCAGTGAACATTGAAATAAAATGAATATAACAAATAATCAAAACTTCTGATCACAACACAACAAGTTACAGCATAGAGTCTCTACTGGGATAACTACACATAACTTTAAGATGAACCAATATCAGATCTTGTCAGCTGTACAGAAAGGTCTTTAGTAGGTTGCTCTCCAACACTGACTCCAGGATCTTTGACATTAGTACCTGTAAGGGCTTCAGTAACTCTCACAATGACCCAGTTGGCCCGGATTCGTTGTGGATCCATAATCATTACAACATCATCACTGTTGATACAGTCATAGTCATTGTGCCACATGCCACGGGTCTGCAGCATAGATAGGCAACTCTCTGTGAAGACATTCCGGAACTGGCCAGCAAGGACTTGTCAATGTCGCCAAGGCTTTTGACCTAACAGTTCATCTCCTGGGTAAACACTTTGTAAGAGTGACGTTTCGGGTTGGCCAATCAGATGAGAGTTCAACGTATCCGGATCAATGTCGGTTGCGCCTGTCGAGATACATCCCAGTTGTCTTGAAATACAAGATATCTCCACTAATGCTGTTCTGAAGACAGGTTCTGGCACTGTTTGATCTCCTAGGATAGCTTTAAGACATTGCTTGATTGACCTGACTTTCTTTCCATATAGCCGGCAAAATGTACAGTGCGAACGGTGGATTGTACTTGAACTTGAACTTCTGATGGGACAATAAGGTTCATAGCACTGAAATCATCGATCCTTTTATCTCCCCCTTTAAAAGTGGTGCCACAATCAGTCTGATTTTTGGAGGGTTTGCCTGAAATATATCTCCGTCTCTGTCATAATTTCGAGCAATTCAATGTTCACTACTCAGGTGATCTTACACTTGAGCAGAATAACCCATCTCTTCTCTCTTCAGGAAACAACTTGACCCACTTTGGGCCAAAATAGTCTACACCAGTGGAGTAGAACACATATTTGTGAAGTTGGGTCTTGGCCTTTGGCAGGTCTGCGTTCTTGGGAAATTCTGGCAACTGATCTGAGTTTCAGTCACTCCCTCCGGTGCATTTTAATGGCTTCACGTCCTCAAATGAATCAAAACTTCCAACTGATTCCTGCCAGCAATCTCTCCGACACATAGTCTTCTAAGCTCCTTGTCATACTGTTTGATGAGTAGCTTCATGATAGGGTGTCATGGGGTCAAGGAGAAAAGAGTGTCACTCTAAGCCTACCACCTACCCGTATCAGATTTGTGGAAGAATCACATTCTGGTGCCAGATCAAGAAGCCTTCTGGTTGAGGGAACATGGTTGTGTGCCCTTACTGATTTGATTTTCTTCGAGTATGCAATGCTCAAGGCCTCTATGAAAGAAAGCCATTTCTGCATCTTCAACAGTCTCATCTGCCGCTCCATCATGGTCCTCGTTAGTGGCACTTACTACAGAGTTAAATGTTTTGAATTAACCGGGTCAGGGATGTTTGATATGATACATGGCTGTTACTGTCTTTCTCAGTTCATTGTCTGTTTCATGGGAGTTCGGTTCACAAGGCATTGCCTCAGCAATTCTGAGTGAGTGACTGAGCTAAAATTTAACATCACCTCGGCAATAATTCAGCCATATAGTGACGATACATCAGCAGTTCTGAAGGTCGTTGAGAAAGAGAGATGGCCGTCCATTGTGCCAGGGGGATTCACAGCAACGTTCATGAAGTTAGATCACTGGCAGTGTTGTGCTTTGTAATGACATAATGTCAATTGTCTACCACTTGTCTAATACTGTTATCTGTTTGGTCCAGGGTTGACCAAAGTTCAAAAGAGACTGACTTGACTTCAACAGGTAAATGGACAAACACTGAAGATGAGTTGCATGCCCAATGACGAATATCCAAAGCGCTTTTAGCCAGAACCATTCTGAGTTTATCACAAGTTCCTTCACAAGAGTTAGTCAAGCTGTTAAGACAAATGCTTCACTCACACATCTGGTCACTTCTGGGTACTTGTGGTTCTCAGTCATGGAATGCCTCAGTAAGACAAATGAGGCCAAACAGGGACTGCAAGTGGGACCGAATGAACTACCTGCCATTTGTACATTGTTCATCATGGTTCGTGTGGCACAGAATGAGGCGAAGACGATTTTGATCCTGGGGTAGAAGTCTCACCTGATGTAACATGGCCTTTATGTCCCCCAAAATGCCAATTTTGATCCTCCTGAATCTCAGCAACACACAAAGGAGAGTAGAGCCGACAGTAGGTGCAGACAAGAGTTATTTGTTGTGGTTCAGTCAACAATATTTAAAAGAGCAGTTAAACATCAGCCATGATGTGTGATTATAAGTGACAATATGGAGAGATTTGAAACACCCCATATTCATTCCGGCACTGTGAAATACTCCTAAACCTTAACTGAGTCTTAACTCAACAGTGACAGCGTCTGACTACTTGTCACATAGTCACATTAATTGTATTAACAGTTAGTTAATATTTTATGTTTTGAATACTGGAAGGTGAACAGCAACTAATTATATGGATTATACTGTTTCCTGGTTAACTGAGCTCTTCCAAATCCTGGTTCATTTTCAAAACATCTTTGTTAAAACAGAAAATATCGCAAAAAGGTTTTGATGAATAATTTTACAATTTCACATGAATAAAACATCGAGAAAAAATTCACAATTTTGGGTTGCTTTTATATCAATTTCATGTTATCTAGGAATCTGTTTGTTGATGTCAACCAGATCTCTAATTCATACTGGTGTTCTGGCTTCTTGACCAAATGTAGGAATCCTCACCAACTATGTGCAGGGTGAGGCTTTATGGGTCTTGTGGGGAACTTTGTTGACAGAAAGTTTCATGAACCTCATGCTGTGCACAAAGACATATAGAAGCAGCAGATTTGGAAATGGAACAACAGTGATCATGCAACGTAACATAGGCTTCATATAACCATAAGCCTAGTTTGACATAAAAGGAGGATGCACATACATGAAGCCTGAATGACTTGCAAAAGAACTTGTTTCAACGCATCCGGTATCAAACTGATATCTGGTTGGAGAGTGGTATTAATAACTGTGCCTGTGATGTTCAGTTTTTCAGTAACAAACTGCTTACAAATGAAAACAATGACATGTTTTCTTCAATGCAATATAGCTAGTTTATGCTGGTGACATAAAAGATAAGCTAAACCATGATAGAGAAAAATGTTCAAGAAATTAGTTTTTTTGTCATAGGTTCTCCAAACATGAGTCGTTATTTTTCCAAACCAGTTTTTCTGTGCAGTTTTAACAATTTCCTTTCATATAGTTGTTAAATTTGATGATATCTGAAGTAGTCATATGATCAGTATGACACAGTCATAAAACTGCTGATACTTACAGTGAACAACAAGGGTAAACTGTTTACTGGCACGTCCTATCACATTCTCAGCTTCACAAGTATAGTCTCCAGCTTGGGCTCGGTTGACCTTGTCCAATGTGACTTGACCTTGACCTACATCAGTAGTCTCCTTCTTCAGTTGGAGTCCACAAGAAGGATTACAGTCGGCAGTACATCTAATAGATACAGGCCCTGTTCCTTCCACTACCGTGTGGGGGGAGGATGGAGTTATACTGACACTGGTTCCTGGTCCATCTGAATTGAGACACTTACAACTAGGAATATACCTTACGTGTCATGTTGAATCTACTAATGTGTGGGAGGAGGGGAATTATACTGACACTGGTTCCTGGTCCATCTGAAATTAAACACTTACAGCTGAGTATATACCCTACTTGCCATGTTCCCTCTACTAGTATGTGGAAGGAGGGAAATTATACTGACACTGGTTCGTGGTCCATCTGAAATTAGACACTTACAGAAAGAAGAATATACCCTGCTTGTCATGTTGCCTCTACTAATGTGTGGAAGGTGGGGCCACCTTAAATTAGATTGACAGTCACATGTTTGCGTTATAGTTAGATCTATGTACAAAGATTCAGAGCCACTAAAACACTATCAACAACATTCAAATGACAAGGGCTACATTATATCGAGTAATGCAAGCTTGCATCTTAGTTCTTCTCAACAAATATCTCCTGTCTACCACTTTGTTCACACCTGGTGTTACACCAGTTTCAAAATTATTGATCAAAACATGATTACGTCATTAGCAGAAATGTACAGTGGACTCCCAACAAGATAGTGCTGATGTTCATTCAAAAAGGATAGCTGAACGCTGCCTACTGAATTCTAACTGTCTGTGAAATGGCAGAGCCCAGTGGATATATCAGTATGCTTAATTAATTTGAGAATGCGATTTCTAATTGTTATTGGCATCTTTCAAACAAGCAGAACTCCACAACAGGTTCCCTGTGATTGTCCATTGTGTCTCAGTCAATGAATTCTGACCTTTGCAGCACCTTCTAATTCTAATGATCGTCTCTGCAAAGGGTCAACAACACAAGCCCAGGATTGATTAATCAGAAACTAATTCTCAAGAAGATGTCCTTTTATGATAGATTGCTGCATTATCGCGGGATAAGTCAATACACCCTTTAGGCCACTTTTAAGCAACATGCAATGTGCTCTAAAAGTACGAAACAACATATAATCAAACAAATAATAACGGCAGACCATTAATATATGCTCCTCAAGGGAATTTACAGAACACCCATGTTTTTAACATGGCGATGCTCATGAACACTTGTTTCAGTAGTTTATAATGTTTCACTTCAAAGGCCAGATTTATGTTGTCTCTTAACAAATCAACTTGTGTATGTATACTAGGCATATAAAGAAACTGTGCATTGTTTCAGGTCGAGGAATCGGATCCCTGTAGCCCACACCGGTTAAGTTGCCCTGAACAATCACCAAAGCTGTTAATGCACCCCAAATCATCACGGAACCACCACCAAAGCGATTCCTCTCCAAGACACAGGCCTGTGTATAACGTTCTCCCACGCGTCTATAGGCACGTTAACGTCCATCACTATGGACCATTCCCCCACGGACCATCCCAATGGCCTCATGACGTTGTTCAGACGTGAGCCTTGGCATGCTATGCGTTTCAAAAGCTGTTTAATTTTTTGAACGATCGCAAGGGGTTGAGTGAGTGAGTGAGTTAAAATTTAAAGTCACATCGGCAATATTTCAGCCATATCGTGACTAAAACTAGTTCTAAATTAATAATACATACAGATAATATATAAAACCCTGTCAACGAAGGACAGTAAAACCACTAGATTATCACAAAATGAGTTAAAACTAGCTAGCATATACTTTAAAAGTAGAAAATTATTTTTGGACAATACAATGTAAAAATGAGCAGTAATCGCCAACAACTGAAGGTAGATCACCATACTAGGGACCATGGGGACTTACAGTGCCTTTGCTACCTGCATGGACCCCAGCTGGATTTACACCATCCCTTCAGCCATTGGCGTTTATAATGAGATTTAGCCATACATTAAAAACACAAAAATACTACGATTAAAAACCTGGTACACTTAAATTGACTAAATGTTTTGGGACTTACGTACCCTTTCAGGAGAACAATAATTTTACGCTACTTCAACCCCCTTTGAGGGTACAGCCACTAACAATCTCAGTTACTAATTTAAATTACCAATAATATAATATTTATCTATTTACAAATCAGTTAACAAATCTAATTCTTTTAAAACTGCAATAATTAAATGAGAACTTATATTACTAAAAAGATCCCTCATAGTTCGTGATTTGAAAAAGATATCCCTTGTGATGGAATATTCAACACAGTCAAGCAGAACATGCTTGACCGTGATTCTTTCATCACAAGGGATACAAAATGGAGGATCCTCACCTTTTAACAGGTATTCATTAGTATATCTGGTATGACCAATACGACATCGTCGCATGATGACCTCTTCGAATCTGGACTGACAACCCAAGTAGGTGTAGCCAATATAGGTTTTATTTCAGGTAATTTATTAATACCTACTTGAGTCTCCCACTTCTTCTGCATCAGATCACGGATGTAAGTTCTAATGCTGGCTTTGTAATCAGTGTATGGAATAAGAAGTGGTGTCACAGATTAGTTGAGTGCTGCCTTGGCAACAAGATCGGCCAAAGTATTCCCAGAAATACCAACGTGGCTGGGTAACCAACAGAGGACGATGTCGTATTGGCCAGTGGCAAGAACATTATATAATTCTATAATTTCTAATAAATGTGGATGTTTACAAGGAAGATTTTTAATAGCCTGAAGGCAAGAGAGAGAGTCGGAAAATATATATTGTTTATATTTAGGATGTTTATGAATATATTTAAGAGCTGTAAGTATTGCGCTTGCTTCTGCTGTGAAAATTGAACAGTCATTGGGTAATCAGGAAGATATTGTTTTGGACCCAATGACAGTGGCACAAGCCACTGCGCCACCCACCATCCTTAGACCCATCTGTAAATATGGATTTATATGTATTATATTTACTTCTTAATTGATTATATTCTTGTTTGTATTGTAAGTCATTTGTTTCCGATTTTTTTAAATGATGTAAGTGTTAAGTCATCTTCTGGTCTAACTAACTGCCAAGGAGGAGAAGAAAGAAGACGGATAGGAGCTATATTTTCCAGCTCAATGCCGGCAGCAGCAATAAATGGCTTAATTCTGAGCCCAAGAGGCGGAACAAGAAAAGAGTTTTTGTTATACAAATCCTCATAAAGGCAAGGGCTTGAGCTTTCCAAAGTGACTGTATTGGTTGGCATTCATTTGCTCTGTTTCCCTTTCCCGGAATGCACGTGCAACAACGTATTGCACGTCTCAAGGACGAACCCACTGACGTCACGGAACGTGGCACGTGCATGCATGTTGGATACATGTCACTAATCCCTGAGTTTAAATCCTTATGCGTCTACACAGGCTTGATAAATTTAGATTCTAAATTTTTGTATGCACAGTTTCTTTATGTGCCTAGTATATATGCGGAGGCTAACGAACCCTCCCTTGAACAACGCCACATTAAACTTTCACTGCTGTAAAACACAAAATTGCGTTCAAATGAGTCCAATCCAGCATACAATTGTGTTTTTAACCCTTTCTACGAAAACCTGTTTCCTAAACTGCCAAGCCTGGTCCCATCACTTGGAATCAGAATTCAACCACACATATCTGCAGGTAAAGTTGACCTCTATATCAGAGCACCTTTTCGGCTTCTGTCTTCGCCACCCTGGCAGATGGTGAAACCACAGGTGGATCTTACCCTCACTAAACTCAAAAAGTCTGAAACACATCCTTTGGTGTTCCAACAGGAGTGCAACCAGTTACGTTCCAAGTATAACATCCATAGATCCATTTGTATAGACCATGGATGATGGCCAAGTTGCCAGTGCTACAGTCATTCGATCAAGACTGTCCCCTCTAGAATTCCCGACAAGAGTTCCATTTTCACTGCTGAGGCCAGAGCTATCCTCACAGCTTTGACCTGTATTAAACAACAGAACCATTCCAATAACTTCATCATTTTCACAGATTCATTGTATTACCTTCAAGCACTTCAAAATGTTACTTCAAGACACCCTGTCATCCTAGGCCAATGCAACATCGTCCTCTGCTGGTTGCCTGGTCATGTCGGCATAGCAGGTAACACAAAGGCCGATGATGAAGCTAAAGCAGCTCTTGACAAACCCTGATCTCAACTGCTGGTCCCATACAGTGATTTCAAACCCACTATCAAAAGCTATACCCGGGACCTTATGCACAAAAGGTGGGACACCCATGTTGGAAGAAATAAACTTGATGAATTGAAACCAACAATTGGTCATACCTACTTTGGTAATTTTACGACGATGTCGTATTGGCCACAGTTGGTTTACTCATGACTTTCTGCTGAAAACGGATGGGGATGGAACCCCCATGTGTGTCTCTTGTGATGAAGTGTTCACCATCAAGCATATTTTGCTTGTCTGTGTGGATTTTTCGACCACAAGGGATTCACATTGTGATGCAAGAAATCTGAAAAATGTATTTTCCCGCGTGAGCGGACATCTCATTGTTAACTACCTAAGGGAAGTTGACCTGTATCACAAATTGTAACTGCTCGCCTATACATTTGGTGTGACATTTTCTGTTTTTAAATAATAATGCAATATATGGCTGAAATATTGCCGATGCGACGTAAAACCCAACTCAACACATCAACACCTGTGCGTGCCACGCAGCTTGAGCTGTCATCATAAGCTGGCTTAGTTCTATGATGACTGTAATTCCTACAATCCGTCTTTGCTGCTATCTCTAATGTTGTGCTAACTGGACCTTCTGCATTCTATGTAATCCCTGCAGCCCTGTGCACCATGACTTGTGTTAGTATAAGTTAGCTGATCATCAACCAATCTAACTGTACTATCAAGTGAACATTGAAAGGGGAAATAACTAAACAAAAGGTCCAGTAAATCAAACAGATTCATGACACTCCCGGTTTTTTAAAGGTCTGGCACAATGAAGAAGAAGGTTGTTGATATATGCTATTACCAAACTCAAAAAGTCTGAAACAAATCCCTTGGTATTCCAACAGGAATACAACCAGTTACGTTCGAAGTATAACACTCACAGATCCATCTTCACAGACGGATCCAAGGACGATGGCCAAGTTGCCAGCGCTACAGTCATTGGAGCCTAG